TTAGATAATTTCAATTCTTTTCATAATTTAATTTTCTCTTATAATTTACTCTAAATAATATGTACTTGGGGGTTTTCTGATTTTGTTTCAGCCATCCAATCTCCATAAACTCTTAATATTTGTGCTTGCAAATTTATATCCAAATCTTCTTTGTACATTAAATTACGTAAAAGAAATCTTCCAACATATACATCCTTTCTAAGTCGTGCTAATAGAGATTCTTGATAAAGTAATTGATCTTGAATTTTTTGTGGTATATCTTTTTGTTTTGTCAAAATAGCTTACATAAAAAAATTTATAATATGTATAATATATAAAAAAAATATAATATAAAGTGTAAAATAAAAATAAAATATTATAATTTATAATTAAAGTGTTATAACATTTTTTGTTATATATACCTAATGCACGAGTAGCAATTTGCAAATCCTCTTTATCTGCTGCTATTTTTGATATTTGTAAATATGTATTAAAAAGTGCATTTTTAATATTTATATTATCAATTAAAGTATTATTTATTTGAAACATTATAGTTCTTTGAGTTAAAATGGGTTCAATATATTGAAAATCACTAAAATTTGCAACATCTTGCTGTTGCCATTTATGCAATATTTGTTCATATTCATCTTGTTTAGCAAAACTTAATTCCTCAATTTCATTAATTAATTGTAATTGCATTAATTTTTCATATATAGTTTTATTATTTTCTAAAAATAATCAATCTTTAAATAAACATAAAAATATTAAAAATTTTAATAAATCTTACCTAGACTAATGCTTCTAAGTGCTTTTATAATGCTAATGCGAGCATTTTGAATTGCATCTTGTATACCTATTTTATTACCTTCATGAAAATATTTTAATGCTTGATAATGATAAAAATTATAATCATGTTCAGATACTTCTAATTTTAAATTACAGTTATTCTGTGTGTATAAAATTTGATTTGTTTCACAAATATTCCAATTACTAAGTCGCCAAGCACATTCATATTGAATCTCTTCATCTATTTTTGCACCATTCTTCAACATAATAGATATAAAATTACTAAGTAAATATTGAAGACCTGATTGTTGTAATCCATTTGCCATTTCTGAAATACATAATGTATTAAATATAAATTTATTTAATTCATTAAAATTTTATAATTAATATAATTTAATTCTAATTAATATTTTAGAATAAAAAATTTAAAAAAACATAATATTTATAGATTTTAAATAATAATCCTTTATCACAATCTGAAAGATAAATATAAATTGTAAA